TCCCAGTCGACAGTAGGTTGTGCGCAGTGAGACTTAGAGGTTTGTGCAAAATAAACAGCCGTCGCCCTGACAGACAAAACCTGTTTGTCCTGTCGGCGTACGCCCCGACAGACTGCAGCCCAGATGCAGTAAAAGATGGATTTTATCATAACCTACACGACCTCTTGCGAAAAGCGAGTCGGGCTTATATCGTGATTTTAGCAGGAGAAATGAATGCTAGAGTAGGCCGACTGATTTCGAGTGAGGCGCATCTGGATGGTTCTTTTGGACTAGATTCCTGTCGCTCAAAAAACGGGGAACGGTTGTTAGCTCTGTGTTCCGATCACCGCCTATTTCTCGCCAGTACGAACTTGAGACGCTCCAACTGCCGGTACGCCACTTGGTGTCCGCCCTCCTCGAGTCAGAGACGGACGCAGATCGACCACATCGCTATAAGCTACAAATGGCGCGGTTTTATACAAGACTGCCGGTCGTACTGGAGCACTCCCCTCGAATCCGACTACGCGTCCGTTTGCGCCAAGCTGTCCATGTGCTTCGGTGGGCGTTCCAAACGCTTGCACATCGACGGCTAGACTATGATCAGTTGTCTGAACCAGCACGCCTAACTGTTTTTCAGAACGCGCTAGCTGAAAAGCTAGAATCAACCCCATTCGATAACCTTAAGCAGCACTGGTCGCTCTGCATTCTGCTGGCTTAGTTAGTTGTGGTCTGACACGTCGTGCCGTGACACCCAGGATTTCTGCGGAATCTCTACGTCTTCTCGACGCACGCCAATCAATCTCGACCGGCAGCGAGCTTAATGAAACGCGACTCATAACGAGACGTGAACTTATTGCAAGCTTACGCAGAGACCGCGAGATCTGGTGGACTAAACGCGCGTCAGAGATGGAACGTGCTGCCGCTATGGGAAATCCCCGTAAGCTGTTTCATCTCATCCGGATCACCGGTAGGAAAGCCTTAGGTGTGAGCGAAACGATCTGCGAAGCTGACGGAGCTGGGCGGGGCACTTCAACGCACAGTTTAGCTGGCCACCAGCGTCAGCTCCTCACACAGCTATTCCGGCACACCTCCCATGGTCTGTCACAACAGACCCACCTGCTGAGGCGAAAATCCGTAAAGAGATCCAAGCCTTGGGACGCCACAAAGCGCCGGGCTCCGATGGCCTTCCCCCTGTTCTATTTAAAGATGGTGGAATAAAGCTTGTTAGAGGACTCCACGCCCTGTTCTCCGAAGTGTGGGATGCTACACACATTAGAAAACACTGAAAATGTTTTCACTATACCACGTGTACACTTACAAAGACGTTAAGCTTAACCTGGCGTGTGCGTGTGTAAGGGGGGTGTGTGAGGGGAGGCTTTCAGAGCAAATAACAGTTGAATATCTACAATCAAAAAACGTAGACGGTGTACGGATGATGAGTGTGGAATGCAGCCAACGGGACTACTATTGATCCTCGCCAAACTGCAGTTTGCATTTTGTGCAGTCTGGCAAACCAAGTCAAGAACAGCATCCGCACAGGAGTAGAAATTTATGCATTATGCTCAATCAAAAGGTTGTAAAGGCACAAATAACAATGGTGGGGGAAAACATGTAAAAAGGAATGTTAGTCGATGAAGGATGTCAGCCTAATGCACTTTTCGGTAAGCATTTATGGCGTCTAATTGATGAAGATATACTAAAAGTGTAAATTATAACAGAATGGCAATCAAGAACGCTACGATAAAAGCAAACTTTAGTGAAGTCATTTCGGACGATTATTCTATTTTATGATAGAAGAAATTGTGATCATCCGGTGTGAAGGTATCATACAGTACTGGCGAGTCTGGGATGCTTTGTGGAGTGAAATCATTCGTATAAGTAGTCACAGGCCCTTTTTTATTACACGCTTAGGTGTGATGAACAGAAGACGGGGCGGACCCCAAAGTCATGAGGACCTGCTGTTCAGTGATTGAAATCGGCAACCTAAGCCCCGGGACTTTGAGTGGCGAACCACATGGACCCCGATAGGTTAGGCGTGGTATTGAACCGGCATTACTTACCGAACTCCAAAAGAGATGGCGAACAGTGAAAGAATGTACAAATCCGCCAAAAGCAGTTTCCAACCCGGTGCTGAAGAATTCAGCCAAAAGTAACCAGGCGTCCGCTGGCCAACTGACTTGGGGCCACTGTGTTGCAAATGGTGCATGCCTGGAGACGTCAAACTGACCGCCTTGGCGTACAACCTTTCCCGGTCCAGAAGGCTGATGCTCGGTGGGATCTTGGTCGCGACCAAGGACGAAATCCTGTGCGGAAACATATAGAGTATCTTCATCCGAATTATCCCGAGAATGTGACGGGCTCGTGACGATTCCCGGTGCATTCCCTGGACACGCAACAGAATCAGAGCGAAACGAATGGGATATCCAGCGGTTAACAAGAATACAAGAAAATACGGAAACAGGATGGTCAGTAGAAAGCATATTCAAATGCCAATCCCTGAACTGAACACCTCAGCACAAATTCCTAACTACAGACGTAACACAAATTTGTTTCAAATGGGAATTGCTCGTGTGTATGGCGAATGAAACGTGAAATGAAAAGCTAGGAAGCACTGGACAGCTGTTTCGACCTGGTTGGGTTTCATCAGCAGTGCGAATCCACCGACCCGACTGGGGATCGAACCCGGGACCCGACAGGGAGAACGCAAGCATGCTACCCACTCGGCCATCCAAAAGATGGGTTGTGCTACATCATGTAAATAGAAAATGAAAAATGGTCTGATCAGCTGCCCGGTGGTCGAGTGGGTAGCATGTCTGCGTCTTACCTGTGAGGTCCCGGGTTCGATGGATTCGCACTGCTGATGAAACCCAACCAGGTCGAAACAGCTGTTCAGTGCTTCCTAGCTTTTCATTTCACGCTTCATTCGCCATACACACAAGGAATTTCCCCATTGAAATTGAACCAAATCCTCCACTACTCACTTGAAAATTTGTTTAGCATTTTTATTCAGATGATGCACCTATAAATCCGACCGACACGCTAGGTCTCCGGTGATACAAACCGTTGCGGCAACTTTTGAATGAAAACTAGTGAAATGTGTGGGCTTTTCATTCGAAGAAAGTTTAGCAAGACCGTGGCAATAAACCGAAAACCATTAACCGAGGGATTTAAAGAAACGCTTGGTTTTGCCCCGTCTGCAACAACTTAGAAGACGAGAGACGTGTCAATAAGAGCCCTTAATTGGGCTTTAATTTGGCCGCATAGACTGAGATTGGTTCACAAACCGCGCACAATTTGCTCCTTTACATATCAAGGAGTACCACATAAAACACTGACTGTATGCAGAACTCATTTCGTTTGCCAAATCGTTATGCAATTTTTTGTCAGGGTTCACGAAAGGGGGCTTTAAGATATTTTACATTCTTCAGGCACATTATCTGTGATAGAATCGGCTTAGCGAAGTCACAGTTGCAATATAGAAACCCAAAATGTTGATATACATATATATAATTACAGAGGTCAAAGTGCGTGATACCACACTGATGGATCCGCGGGAAATTGCATAAAATGGGGTGCGCTAAAAGTATTTGGTGCATCAGGTGCACAATGAGAAACGGCAAAACCGGTCCTAGATACATAGTCAAGTCCATTTATCTCTGAACGATGAACAAAAATATTTCATGAGTTGGAATAGATGATGGAAATCCGTCCAGATTCTCGTCAGCCTATTTTCGGCCGAACGAGTTTGTATTCGAGGGCAGATGAAACAAGACGAGTAGCGATTATAGAGCAGTGCCCTTTGGACAGTTTCCACTGTTACTGTTAATCACGAAGAAAACTGTCACATTCGCCGCATAGTAAAGTGAGTAAATGTCAGACTGAACGTATGTGCGCATGAGGTTTTGTAGACAATTGACGTAAAATGGGAAACATCAATTTCGACTTACTAGGAGCCGGTAACCAGTGTCCGTAAGCTGATTCCTCGGTAGCATCATCAACCTCATTGGAAACGAGCGGTCGAGTGTCATCGCTGTGAGACAATGCTCTTCGTGCCCTGGCACGCATTCGCATTTGTTCTCCCGTGGAGGAAGACTGCTTGATACACCGCAACCCTCGGCACCAACCGGTCAGTGTCAGCGACAGTAACCAGGTAATTAGCCCAAGGGCGCTTAGAAGACAATAAACCCGTTGAATTGGTTGCAGTGGTTGTGTGAATAGGAATCCTCTGGCAAAATTCGGAGAGGCTGAGTGCTCCACAATTCGATGGTGCTCAGACGTACGTATTACCACCGGTATCTGAGCTGTTACGGTAGACCTTGCGGTTGTTGCATTTGGAGGTGGTGGAGTTGTCGAATGTGACAGTGGAGTGGTTCTATTGACAACGGACTGCTTCGCAGTCGATGGTGCATATATTCTCACAGTGGAAGTTGTACTAGCTGGTGCGATTGTTGAGTTCACTGAAGCGGACTGAGTGGTGCGAAGAAGGGAAATATTGAAATGGTTTTCATTTTCAGTTGTCCCAGTGGAGTTGAGAGTGACAAAAGGGGGACCAGTGGTTCCGTTTTGTTTCAACTCGACTGTTCGGTTGGTGTTACTGGAACTGGTATTAGCTGTAGTTTTAACTTTGGGGGCAGGAGTGATTGCTACTATAGAAACAGGGACTGTTTTTTCTGCAGATGGGGCAGGTAAGTTTTGTGAACCGGCTACGGTCTCGATTTGACGTTCTTCTTTCAATTGTTTCATTTTAACGGCTGTGTTACTACCATCTGCTGAGGATGCGTCTTGATTCAATTGTCCTGCATCAATTACTGATGGCTTTTTTGGTGCGAGAGTTGTGGAAGTGGTGGTTGACGGTGAAGTTGCAGCATTTGGACGAGTACTATTGGTGGTTTGGTTTGATATTGAAACCTTATTGCTTTTTGGCGGTAAATCAAACAATTCTTTCTCCAAGGGCGAACTAGGGGTATTCGTGAGACTGACCTTTGGAACAACGGTTCCGGAAGTGATAGGACTCATGGTGTGGTTTACGGAAATGGAAATAGGAGAAAC